CCGAAGCAGCGCGCGTATGAATTGTGCGGTAGAGGACGGTCTGTACGCACGCCTATCTCGTCCTTTTAACTCCCTGTGCACATTTTTAACACACCTATATTTGTATGTGCATTTGCTCAAGTCATTTGGAATCCTGGTTTCAAGTGAAATTAGATAACCAAGAGACTCCAGGGCTGGGGTTGGCTCGGTGGTGGAGCGCTTGCTTCCTACCCCTGAGGGCCTGGGTTCGGCCCTCAGCACCACCTAGAAATGAGTAAGTAATTAAAGGTATTGTGTCCATCCAGAACTAAAATAAAACAAGGGAACTCCAAAGGCCTTTTGCAATTTTAAAAAATTGCAACAAAGTAGAAAGCAATTAGTGATGTATTTGAATTGAAATTATTAATCAACCGTCTTAGGGTAACAATCAACAGGGACTGGTCTCAACTGCAGTCTTTACTAGTTTGGAAATTAAAAAAAAAAACAAAAACAGGACAGAATGGATCTCGGTGAAAGAAAAATCAGAATATGGAAGAATCTCACAAATACTGAGTGAAAAAAAATCAGACACAAAAGAATACACAGTACCAAAACAGGTGGAACTCATCTATGTTAGAAGTGGGAAAGAATGTTACTCTTGGAAGACCTCACTCGGAGGGTCCCCTTGCCCTTGAGAGGGGCTTCTGGGATCCTGGTAAAAGTTTTAGTTCTTAATTTGAGTGACAGGTATACAGGGTATAAATTTATGGAGTTGTTGATTTTGTATGCTTTGTGTGTATATGTGTGTGTGTATTAAACATCAGTAAATATTTTTCTTTTGATAAGTAACATTTATTTATTAAACATAAATATTTATCTAACGACACACTAAGATATTATTTATGCATTTCAGTAAAGTATCTGGTTATTACCAGATTCCTAGTCATTGTGCAAAAAGACATTTTAATAAAGCAGGGTAATATTTAAAATATTAATATTTGCATTTTTTTGAGAATTTTCATTCTTTTCTTTCTTTGGCAATCTGAAATAATTAAATGTTAATTCAAGTAAAGAGGGGGGCTGGGGTTGTGGCTCAGTGGTAGAGTGCTAGCATGTGGAAGGCCCTGGGTTCGATCCTCAGCACCACATAAAAATAAATAAAGTAAAGGTATTGTGTCCAACTACAACTAAAAAGTAAATATTAAAAAAAAAAAAAGGACCATATCATGGACATCTTGCCCCGCCTAATTCTTTCTACAAAGCCAGGGCTCACAAATTTATTAAAAAAAAAAAAAATACATGGGGGCTGGGGCTGTAGCTCAGTGGTAGAGTTCTTGCCTTGCAGGTGTGAGGCCCTGGGTTCGATCCTCAGCACCCATAAAAATAAAGATATTAAAAAAAAAAATACAGGTTGACACCAAGAAAAAAATTCAATAAGCTTTGACTTTTACTTGCTTAATTATACTTCTATTTAATAAATCTTAACTTTTTTGCAGATAGGTTTTCTTGGTGCTTGGCATACAGCAGGTGCCCAATGTACATACTCAAGGGAACATTATACTACTTCCCTCTTATGTAGAGACCCAATTGATAAAACTAGAGAAGTCACTGAACACAGTAATCTACCTGTTATCCTCAACATTTACTGAATATCTCGTTTGTACAAGGTCTGAAAATTTTCCAAACTCATCTATTGCTGGTTCCCTTTTGCTTCAGTTCTTTCCTCAGTTCACCTCTTTCCTCATGCATTTTACTATAAGCAGCAATGAAAACACCCGACTGTACATTGCACACTTTCATTGGAAACCTCCTTAGCCAAATATTCAAGTTCATCACCTACAAGTTGTTTTCCACCCAACCTTGGTGCACATTTCAGCCAGATCTCTGTAACAAGGGTCACTGTTCATTTTCTAATTATCTGCCCTCATTTCCTTCAAGAACTTAATGAAAGCATTCATATATTTTAACATTCATATATTTTTCAATTAATGGGCTTTATTTTTGAAAAGTTTTAGATTTTTAAGATTTTTAATTTTTTTTTTTTTTTTTTTTTTTGGTATCAGGATTGAACCAGGGGGATTCAAACTCCGAGCCACATCCCCAGCCCTTTTTTCTATTTTATTTAGAGACAGGGTCTCACTCAGTTGCTTAGGCCCTTGCTGAATTGCTGAGACTGGCTTAATTACAGGCATGCACCACTGCATCTGGCCAATTTACAGGAAAATTGAGTGAAAAGTACAGATTGTTCTAATATACTCCCTCCCTCCTCCTTCTGGTTTTCTCTTATTAACAGCTTGCATTATAGTGGTACATTTGTTAGAAGTGATAAGCCAGTATGGATAAATTATTCTTACCTAAACATCATAGTTTACATTAGGATTCATGCTTTTTAAAAAACATTTTAGTTTTAGTTGGACACAATATCTGTTTATTTTTATGTGGTGCTGAAGATCTAACCCAGGGCCTCACACGAGCTAAGCGAGCGCTCTATCGCTGAGCCACAATCCTAGACCCAGTATTCATGCGTGTGCTGAACATTTTTATGGGTTTTGATAAATATATAATGGCATGTACCCACCACTGCAGTATCATATAGAATAGTTTACTGCTTTCAGAAATCCCTGTGCTCCACCTATTCATCCTTCCTCCAGCCCCCAAATCCATGGCTACCATTGCCTCTGTAGTTTTGCCTTTTCTGGAATGTTATATAGGTGTAACCATACAGTAGGCAGCCTTTCTGATTGACTCCCACAGCTACAAGTACAGGTTACCACCATCTCTGGGAGTTGTAGCATCTTGAAAGATGTGGGCCCCACACATTTGAAAGTCCTAAAAACAATGTTAAGGGTGACAACCGGTATTTTTATAATGGCAAAGGAAAAAAACAAACATCAGACTGTAGTGGTGGGCGGTGAAATGCCTGTTTGTTTGTTTTGTTTTTACTGAGAAAGCGTCCACTATGGAACTGAAGCCAATTCAGACACGTGGTTTCCCGGTGATCACGCAGATTTAAGACATATTGCTTGGAGCAGCAAGAAGGAGTTTAGCAAAAATGATAGGAAAATGGGACACTTTAAAGAGTGGGTCCTCTCAGGGAGGAGTGGGATAGTAGACCCCTTCTGTCCTCCTGTCTTACTGGGAGTCTCAGGGAAGTTCCCAACATCCTGCCCAGGTCCAAACTCTTGACTTTTGACTGAGAGCCGGACTGCATCAGACTTTCAAGGCTCACTGCTCAGTCTTACCCTATGGAGCAGAGTTGTACTATTATGACGGGCTAAAGATTCCAGGTCATTTTGGTCTGCACTGCCAGTTCTAACTGAACTTGTTCTTACAGATTTTATGGTTAAAAGGCTTTTGCTTCTAATTATCTGAGTCTTGAAATTTGTGTGTTAGGTAGTAGTTAGTAACGAGCAGTGGAAATGCAATCCAATAATTCAGGAGGATCGTGGGGTTTCATTGAATCCCCTTTAATGAACAATCAAGTAACACAGAAAAACAACAGGCATGTTAACTCTTTGAGAATAAACAGGTGAAAATAAAGGCTAATTCCCGACAGAGTCTGGGTTTCTCAGTATGTATCAACAGGGAAATTTCCCTAGGAGTGCAGGCAAAAATAAAGTTTGCCCAGTCATTGACCCTAGCACCCACTTTGACGGGATCGCCTTGAAGAAGCGCCCCTTTACTGGGATGGTCCTCAGGACAACGCTGCGAACCGACGAGGGTCAAAAGCTGCCCCTGCTGGACGTGACGGAGGAGTGAATCGTCTGGTTGGCCAGACTGAAGGTGGAACCTCGGTCCCCCGCAAACCTCACTGTTGAGGCCTGGAGGAGCACCGTTTCTCTGCTGTCCTCTGCTCGGAGCCGACCTCTCGCAGACGGTTCTCTTGAACCTTACTTTACTTTCACTGACAATAATGCCTCCGGCTGGATTTCCATGTGAGGCTTTAAATTTTCTTCGGCGGACAAGGGGCACAAGAACCAGGGCTGGGCGTCAGCTCCCCGCTCGGGCGGCCGCCGGGAAGGGTCACGAAGGCGCCCGACCCGGGAGACGTGCGCCCCTGCGGCGCTCCGGGCCTGCGTCGCTTCCGCAGGTCGTCTGACCACCCAGACTGCGCTGAGCGCAAACCGCTTCTAGAAGAAAGCGTGCGGCTAGCGCGGCGGGCAGACTACATAACTGCCCCCACCGCTCACCGCTCACCGCTCACCTATCAGTTTCAAAATCACGAAGAGAAACGGCCGGCACGTCAGCCTTGGGAGCGGGGCCGCCGCAGAACGGGCTCCGGCCGCGGGCTCACGCAACTGCCGCCGACGCACGCCGGAAGTCCCTCGCGTCGCGGCCGGCCGTGGGCACGCGTCATGACGTCACTGGGAAGCGTTGGAGGAGCGCCCTCGCGGCGTCTGCTGGGAGTTGTGGTCCGCCCTCGGTGGGTAGATCCAGCCTCCCGGGGCAAGGCCGGAAGTGGCTGTTAAAGCCTCGAGGCGTGTCAAGGGTTGGCGTTCGGAAGTCCAGCAACGGGGGTGCCCTTCGTGAGCTCGGGTGACCGTCCTGGCGCTGGACCGCGGCGTGAGGCTCGCGGAGGGGAGGGCGGTTGCCTGGCGTCACCAGGGTAACCGCCAGCCCTGCGGGCGCGTGACGTCACCCCTGGGTTGGCCGTGACGCGTCTCGGCTGGAGGAAGCCGGGGAGTCGGAGAAGGGGGCGCGCCTCGCCGGGTTTGCGCGGGCGGGTCCGCCCCGCTCTTCGCACGCTTTGTTCTTTTGTTCTGGTCTGCGGCGAAGTCGGGCCGCCCCAGCCGTAGCTCTGCAACAGGTGTGTCTTGGGCTCCCGCACCCACGGGGCGCCACCAGGGAGAGGGGGCCGCGCGGGCGCCCTGGCCCGGAGCGGCCGCGCCGCGCAGTCCGTCGGCGCTGGGTCCTCGTGCAGGGCCTCCGCGCCGCTGGAGGCTCAGGTGCGCCTCTGACGTGCCGCTGACGGCGTCCGGAGTCGGCGGGGCCGCCGGCCCTGGCTCCTGGGGCTCCACTGCGCACGCACGGGGACTTCAGAGCCCCGCGTCACGCGGTAGCTGCCGGGGCGCGGCCCGGGAGCCCGGAGCCCGGGCCCGAGGACGTGATGAGCTCCAGGGCCCGCGAGGGAGTGCGCACCCCGCGCAGCAGCCCCACCCCGCACTAGAACTGGCGGGGCTGGGGGCGCGCGTTCGAGGAGTGGACCGACTGGCGTTAAAGGGGAGGCGAGGGGCCGTCCCCTGGGCCTCCGCGCGACCTCCGCCCCGTGAGAGAAGACCTCGCCGAGTGCGGGACTCAGTCCTGAAATGCTCGTGGCTGATGGCCGTCCGTCAGGCCGATGCCAGAACTGGAGTGCTGCGAGGGTGGCTCCAAACTCGCCATTTTGGGTGCGACAACTCCTTGCTGGCTTTCTTTTTCAGTTCCTCGGGCTAGACAGGCGTGCCTGTTGGGTGGCTTCGGTGTGGGCCTCGACTCTTGGTCTCTAAAAGCACCGGGGCTGCTCTTCCTCCCTTCGCAGGTGAATCCAGCTGTGCAGTCCCGCCCCCAGATGCCCTGCTCCGCAGTCTGGCCTCCGGGCCTCGGGTGGGTCTGTGAGGTCCGTCCAGGCTTCCCTGCATCTCCTGAACCGCAGTGCCTGAGACCGAACCTCGTTCTTGAGATGCGCTTTGAAAAATACCTGGCAGTATGATGTAGTGCTGTTTTTTTATGTGGATTTAGTTGGGCATCAAATTTTATTTGTTTTTTTAAAACATCAGTGATATTCTTTTTTGCATAAACTGAATGAATTAGATTAATGCTGTTCTTATAACGGGATTGTTATCCTTAACGTCAACATAGGCGTTTGTGATTGTTTTGATATTTTGGCAGGGGCAGGGGGGGGGGTCGGTTGTTCCTGTCAGAATAATTAGAAAACCTAATTTGGTTTTTCAGTGTTTTCATGTTTTAATTGTCCTTTCGAACTTTATGTCATTACAAATTTGAAAAGCATTTCTTCTGTTTCTTCCTTATGTCATTGAATAGGTCAAGGTAAGGGGAAGCCCTGTAACATGGCACTGTAGACTCCTCTGCATTGTCATTGTCTTTACAGTCTTTCAGTATGACTGTGTGGACAGTTTAATGATTGTCATTCAGCCCTTTTTCTTGCATTGTTAAGAATAATATCATTAAAAATCTCAACATTATTGTTGATGTAGGTTTGAACTGTACTTTATATTTTTCCTCATTTTTTACCCCTTATATCTTTTTATAATGTTCTTTTAAATTCTAAGATCCTCAGAATTGAATGGGCCAAAATGCTTTCCTTAAGACTATTTTTTCCTTCTTTTTGAGACTTTTCATAATTGCATAATTAGAATCATCTTTTCTGAGCCTCTGTGCCTTTTGATCCCTTGCTTGCATCCTCACCTAGTATTTACTTTAACCCAGGCACACAACTGGCTTCTGTAACTGTTATAGGTGTTGCTTATTTGGTTGCTGTTACTTGCAATCATAGTGTTCTACCTGAGATATTTTTCATGATCCTGATATTCCCAGAGTTTTTGGTAACCAATTATCAGTGTACAACATTTTCTCTCACTGATAAAAACTACAAGATAACATCTTCATTTTTACTGAAGAGTTCTGTTTTTAAAAGTTTTTTCGTTTATTGAAAGTTCAGTTGGGATAAATTCCCTTTATTGTTTCTTTTCTTTTTTTTTTGCAGGGCTATGGATTGTAACCACAGCCTTGCTCTTGCTAGGTGAACACTCTACACCTGAGTTGCATCCCAGCCCCACATCCTCTTCTGGGGCATGACACCATTAAGATAAATCAAGAATCTCTTGACTGGCAGACGTTTCATTTTCACAGAGTGAAATCTGTATTCCTGTGCAGACAGATGAAGCCAGGGACACCATCCTGGCTCTCCTTTCGTTCCCCATCACCTCCACCTGCCTCAACTGACTGTGATGTGGTGCTGCTTTTATTCTTTTTCCTTTTGATGTATCTATAGTTCCATGTTTCACACTGGGATTACTGCATTGGATAGTTATTCTTCCTGTTTCTATCAGATCAGTTTGAGTAAATTTTACCCAGCCCTCTTTAATCCACAGCTTGATTGCAAAACCCACAATAGGCCAGAGGGATTTTTCTGTAATTTGAGTCTTAGGCCTGAAATCAGATGACACAGATCCCCTCATGGTGGTGTCCAAAGAGACTATCTGTGCACCTTAATGGTACTTGCTAGATCCTCTGAAATGACTTGGGCCCTGTCTGTTAGAATATTCAGTGTTTTTGTTTTTCATGGTCCCTGATATCTTTATATTTAATCCCTTCTTGTTTTTCTTTTTGTTTTTTAAGTTCTGTGGTTTGAGGGTCTTAACTCCAGTTATAACTTGCATCCAAACAACCTTGGTGATACCTAAATAATTGTGCTTCTCTCCTTCTATTCAGAGTTAAATCTTCTTGGCTTATTGCTACAGTATCATGCATTTGGGTCTGTAGTCATAAATAGTCTTCATTATTTGTTTAGTATTTACTTATTGGAGATGGTATCTCACTACATTGCCCAAAATGGCCATAAATTCCTGGGCTCTAGCCATCTTCCTGTCTCAGCCTCCTAATAGCTGGGACTACAGGCATGTGCCCCATACCCAGATTAAATAACCTTCTTGATTTTTACCTGTTTTATTTTTACCAACCATCTTTTACAGCGTTATTAGTCTTTTATTTCATAATTCATATATTTAATTTTAAATTTATAACCAGAACCATCTTCCCTAGCTTGTGTTTCTATAAAATTAAAATTGAAAGGTGAGAAAATTCTTCTTGCCTGTGTCTTTAAGGAAACAGGTACATCTAGTTTTGTTTTCCTCATCTTTATCTCTTCCTCAAGATAATTTTAAAAAGCATATTTGCCAGACGTTTGTCTCCACACTTTTGAAGATGTGGGAATCAAAGCTAGAGAAGAGTAGGGGCTTATATAATTGTGTATGATCAATTAATATTCATTAGTAGTTCTGAGAACCAGGCTTTGCTGACAACCTGAACTAGGAATAGATCTCCCCAAGAGCAAAATTTGTGTTTGTTTTGTTTATTGAGATACAGGTTACATGTAGAAAGTGTGCAAATATACTAGTGTAACCTACACCCACGTCAAGTCAGAAAATTTCCAATGCCTCAGTCTCTTGTTTCCCTGCCAGGGATTGATGCCCTCAGAGGCAACCACTATTCTAATTCCCTTTCCATAGATCATTTTTGTCTGCTTTTTAACTTAATGGAGGCATTCAGTATGCATTCTTCCATGTCTGGATTATTTTACTTGACATTGTTAATGCGTAGCTTTTTCCTATTATTTTGGAATACTATTTTTTTGTATGAGTACACCATGGTTTGTTCATCCATTTTCCTGTTGAAAGACATTTGGGCTGGGTGGTGTTGCAAACCTGTAATGCCAGTTACTGGAGAGGCAGAGCTTCAGGAGGATTGCAAGTTCACAGCCAGCCTGAGCAACTTATCAGACTGTCTGTCTGTCTCCAGAAAGAGATAAAGGGGTGGGGGGTGTATCTGGTAGAGTGCCCCAGGTTCTATCCCCAGTCCTGCAGAAAACAAAAAGTGGGAAAAAAGGGGAGGGGCATTTGGGTTTTTTCCAGTTTGAGGATATTAAGAATAAACCTGCCATGAATATTCTTATGCAAATCTTTTTTTAATTGATTCTTTGTTATAAATGACAGTAGAATCCATTTTGATGAAATTCTACAAGCATGGACTGTAGTTCATTCTAATCAGGACCCCATTCTTGTGGTGGGCACGATGGTGGAATTCACTTAGGTATTTCTTATATGTACATAGGAAAATATGTTAGGTCTTTCCTACTGTCTTTCCTATTCCTAGCCCCCTTCTTACACAAATCTTTACAGGGACACAGGCCCTGTAGTTGTATGCATAGGTGTGGAATGAAAGCATCATGGAGTGAACGTACGTTTACCTTTAGTATGTACTACCAGTTCTCCCAAGTGTTTGGTCAGCTTACACCCTCATAACAATGTGCAAAAGTTCCAGTTGCCATAATTACTATTGACCAGGTCTCTTCAATTTCAGACATTCTAGTGGGTAGGCAGTATAAATTGTGTTACTGTGAGATTTAATTTGCATTAATGGCAAAATTTTCAAATGGCCTATGAAGACTTTTGGAAAGTAATTTGAATATTATGTGTAGCAAAGAAAGGGAGCAAAAATATTTTGCCTCCCTTAATGAAGAACATAGAGATGTATGATCCATATTACTAATTAAATATCTAGGGACAAAACTGCATCTGAAGTAACGGCTTAACTCTATAGAGCTTACCGAGGAGGGTGCCAGCACCCCAGTTAACAGTTATCTTGCATCTTTTTTTTTAATTCCGAAATATAAAGGAAATGGCATAGTTTTGGCTATTTCCAAATAGAAAAGTAGGTGGATTTTGTGGTTTGCTGGGAGCAGCTAATGTACATAGAATTCATCATGGCCTTTTCTTCCTCCCCTAGGTATGTCTTCTCCAGACGACCGCCTTCTCAATGGGGAATGTACCCTGCTCCCATCAGCCAGTTTTCGGGTAAGTTGGGATTTTCTGAAGTACTGTTTCATTTCTCAGAGTAGGATTGTGTTTTTTGCTGTGGAGTATATTTATCCAAAAGCCAATGTTGCAATTTATTCTGGACTTTCATTTGTCCAGTGACCTCATTGCCATCTCTGCTTCCCCAGCTTTGACTAATCCATTCACCACTTACTCTTGCTTAGTATCTTGCAGTGCTGCAGGGATAGTAGAGCACACTTGATTCTTTACTTGGATCAGCCAAAATGATGCTAAAAACCAAAACAGCTAAATATAGAAAAGGTGAATGAGTACCGTGGAAATTGGAGAATGAGGAAGCTTATGTGATCTGGAGGGTATTTCCAGAGTTTCATGGAGGATATGGGATTTGGGATGCCTCTCAAAGGAAGGGTGAAACTTGGATATTTGAACAAATAAAGTGCAAGGGATGGATTCTAGGTATGCAGAAGGAGATTATATGCAGAGATTCACAAGGAAGCAGTAGCAAGGGTTACACAGGATTCAGAGAAACCTGGAGAAGATGTTTTTGCTGTGTTAAACAAATGCTGAAGGAGATCAGATTGTGAAAGGCCTTGAGCACCTGGATGAGAAGCTGAAGGCTTTATCCTTTAGGCCATTTGTGAACCTTTAGTAGTTTCTAATGGAGGAAAGGTGCCTGCTGAAGTTTTTAGCAGAAACAGTTGCTTGAGAACTTGGACAGGTAATAGTTGCTGCACCAACCATAGTCACCTGTCAGCCCCTTGATCGGGTTCCGTCTTAGTCTTTCCCCCTGCTTACTTCCTGTCCCACAACATAATCTTCTTTCCAAAGAAGTGGTCCCAGTTCTTCCCACTTTCAGTTTAAGCATTTTTAGTATCACTGTATGTTTTACTGAGGTATACTATGAGAAAAAGTACACTCAGTCATCCCTGGGTGTCCTCACAGATACCAACATCCATGGATGCTCCAGTTCCTTATATGAAAGGGTATGTTGCACACAGCCTATGCATGTCCTCCTGAATACTTATTTGTAGTTTACTCATAATGTCAAATACAATGTACAATGTAAGTAAACAGTTGTTATTATATGTTATTTATGGAATAATGACAAGAAAAAAGTCTGTGCCTGTTCAGATAAGTCTGTACTCTTTCAGATATAATCCATAGCCAGCTGAATCTGCAGATGCAGAGCCCACAAATGAGCAAGGCAAACATGTATTTGATAAGTTTGTACCCAGGTACATACTCATAGAGAAACTGTATTTTGAATAATTGTATTATTTTAGTTTATTGAGATTTATTTTTTGTTTTATTTTTTATTTTTGCTTTTTTGGCCAAGTATAATGGTTCATTCTGGTAAATGATTAGCACTAGAGAAGAATGTATGTATATTTTTCTGCTATTGTGTGAAGTGTTCAATAGATACATTAGTTTGCTGCTGCTGTAATTAATTACCATATGCTGTATTATTATAGATGTTACTTTAGGTATGCATATTTGACTTAACACCGTTTACCTCAAAGTGATGAACCATTTCATGCATCGTGTACTTTGATCCCCCATTTTTACACTATTTTTGCTTTGTATTTTACTTGTGCATATATTAAAAATCTTATAATACTTTGTTATTTTCATTTAGGCAGCTAATTATCTTTGAAAGAGGTTTAAATAATAAGAAAAAAAAATCCCCATATATTTAGCTACCATTTCTGGTGTTCTTGATTTCTTCGTGGTTCACAGTTGAAGGTGATTTTGATCCTAGGGAACATTTAGAAATGTTAGGACACATTTTTAATTGTCTAACTTGATGAGGAGTACTACCAGTGTCTAGGGTGTACAGTGCTACAGGCAGGTAGCCATGCTGCCTATAGTACACAGGACAGCCCTCCTCCATTATTTAAGAGAGTCATCCAGTTATCAACAGCTGAGGCTGAGAAATCTTGCTGTAGGATCTGTGTTTTATCTGGTATTATTTTCCTTCTGATGAGGACTTCCTTAACATTCCTTGTATTGTATGATTCTATTCAGATTTTTATGTCTGAAATAGTATTTCCCTTTGTTTTTGAATTCTAATTTGGCAGACTTTTTTTTTAAGTACATGATAGTGTTCCACTGTCTTCTTGCTTGCATTGTTTCCAAGAAAAAAACGATGTAATTTTATATTTGTTCCTTCATAAGTATTTTTTCCTTTGTTTGTTTTATTCTATCTCTGAATTTTCTTTTGGTGGAGTTTTCTTTATGTTTCTTATGCTGGCAGTTCATTGAATTTTTTGGATATGTGGGTTTATAATTTTCATCAATTTTGAAATATATCTGTTTCATTATGGATAATTTCTACTTTTATGTCACTGAGGTTACTAATCATCTCTTCTTCGGTTCCTAATCAGTTAATATTATCAAGTGTATTTTTTATCTCAGAACATTCTTACTTTTGGCTCTGTAAGTTCTGTGTGGTATTGTTCTTAATGTCTTCCATATCTCTTCCTAACTTTTTGAACATGGAATACAGTCCTTTTGCAGGGGAGGGGGCGGGGGTGAGTAACTAGAGATTGAACTCAGGGGCACTCAACCACTGAGCCACATCCCCAGCCCTTTTCTGTATTTTTTATTTAGAGACAGGGTCTCACTGAGTTACTTAGCGCCTCGCTGTTGCTGAGGCTGGCTTTAAACCCGTGATCCTCTGCCTCAGCCTCCCAAGTTGCTGGGATTACAGGCGTGCTGGAATACAGTCTCAATAACTTTAATATTCTTGTCTGATATTTTTAGCTTCTAGACAGTTCTGGGTTGGTGTCCGTTAATTGATGTTTCCCCCTAAGTATGACTTGTATTTTTCCACTTCTCTATATACTTGATAATTTTCTATTGCATGTAACACACTGGATTCTACATATTTTTATGTTCCTTTTTTAAAATTTTTCTTTTAGGTACCAGGAGTGAATGGGTTCTTAACACTGAGCCACATCTCGAAGCCCATCCTCCTTCCCCACCTTTTTTATTTGGAGATAGGGTTGCTTAGGAAGCAAACAAGGTGAGCCCTGTGCATGCTCCATCCAGCTCACTGCTTGATAGTTCCCAAGTTGTGGGGAGGGAGGGGAACCCTGGAGGAGGCTTGATGCCCTGAGATGATGCTCCTCTCTGGTTGTCATGCATGCACACTAAGTTTCTGAGGCTGACTTTGAACTTGTGATCTGAGTGGCGCAGGTGTGTGCCACTGCCCCCAGCTCCTGTGGTGTGTTCTTGATCCTTATTCCAGGATACAATTCAGTTACTGGAAACAGGGTTTGCTTTTCAGCCTATTTACACAATTCTTAGGTAAGTCGGGAGTAGCAGTTAGTCCAAGTCCATTTGTCTGTTTATTCCCCCTACTAAGGCAGGACTGTTCTGAGAATTCTACCCAGTGCTGCATAAATTATGAAGTTTCCAGGTTGACTGATGGGAACAGACTGTTTTCAGCCCTTTGAGGTCTCTGAAGCCCTTTTGGGTGACTCTTTGGCCTTCGGTTATCTCATCACACCCTGGCACTGATTGTGCTTTGCAAGGCACTCATAAAGAGCTCTCATTGCTCTCCCCCCCAGCAGTCTGTCCTGTGAACCCTAGTCACCTCAAGTCACAGAGCTGCCTCTTCATCTCAGGGCATCAAGGCTCCTCCAGGGTTCCCCTCCCTCCCCACAACTTGGGAACTATCAAGCAGTGAGCTGGATAGAGCATCCACAGGGCTCACTTTGTTTGCTTCCCAACCACTGAGCTTCATTACCTGAGGTTCTAGATGTGGAACTTGTTTCATTTTGTCTGGAATTTTTGGTATTTCATGCAGGAGGGTAAATCCAACTCCTGTTAATGCCATTTGGCCATGGCTTAATCCTACTGATATTGATTTTTGGACAGCAAGCTTATTAGGGTTGATCCAGTGTAAGCTCTCTATAGGGCTACTTTTCCAGGACCTGTGGACAGTTTAGTTCAGCGATCCTCAGGAGTAGATCATGACTCGGCTGTAATACTCTGAGAGTCTTACAGCCAACAGGGCCAGAAGGAAGGGCATTCATAAGCAGAGTCCAGAAGTCTGGTCACAGGCTCCTCTCTGGTTGTCATGCATGCACCTTCTCACTGTGATCACAGACACGAGAAGCATCTACCCAGGCAAGTCTTCTTGAGCCTTGGAGTTCAGAGCTTTTAAGTGTAGCTGCCAGATGATCAGCTGTGGCACAGACCCCACACAGGACACTGGGTCCATAACAGATGGCCCCTGTTTACTTTCAGCAGTGGAGACAGTCCGGCATGTCTGCCCAGTGCTTCACACACCTGGAATGACATCAGCAGTCAGTGCTGTGTGAGCATTCCAAGTTTTAGTTTTAGAGCTTGTTCAAGGGTCATCATCATGGAGCCAGGTTTCCTTGGATGTACCAGGGACCAAGCCCAACAGACCTGCTGCTTCAACTCCTCCATTGCAGTCTGGACTTGCCCTGTTCTTACAGCATGCTGGGATTTTTCATGGGCGCCCATCATGTGCATCTCTTAATGTTACATTTACTTGCCCGTGGAGATCATATTTATTTCAGATATTTGGAGCTCCTTCCTTCCAGTGGATTCCCTCCTTCAATAGTTAAGATCCCCAGCACTGTAAAAACAAGAAATACAGCAGATGTCTGCATAAAGTATTTTAGAATAGATGTTGCATGTATTCTTTAGCCACCCTTCCTATTAATGGAAATGTTACTTTGATTTTTCTTCCCTCCAAGCCCACCAGCACTTATACTTAGACTCTTTGCACCTTGGGGCATGTCTCCTGTAAGTAGTAAGCCGGAATTGAATGGCATATGCACTTAAAAATTCTGATAAGTCCTGCCAGCTGCCCCTCAGCTGGAGTGCGTTCAGATTCCGTTCCCACCACAGGACAAGAGCTGCTGCAGCACGTGCCTGTCTTACCCCTTCTGGTTTCAGAGTCGTGGTATGGAGCTTCTTTTCACAGTTTGTTACCAACTTCCTGCTGGACATTTTGGCACATGCTTGTAAATGCAGATACTCCAGAGTCTGGTGTGGGAGGATATTTAAGCGCACAAGTTTGAGACCAGCCTGGGCAACATATTGAGAATCCCCATCCCAAAACACTCAAAAAATTATTTGTGTGACTTGCCTGTTTGTGTTATTGATCCTTTTTGTTGTAGTGGGTTGCTAATTATTTGTAGGAACTTAGAAGATTATCTTTTGTTTATGGTGCTTTTTTAGAAGTTTTGTGTGTGTGTGTGCACACATGCACTGGAGTTGGAACCCAGGCAAGCGGTTTACCACAGAGCTGCACCCCTGGCCCCTATAGATTTTTGTGTAGTTATAGCTGTTAATCTGTTTGTCTTATAATTTTTACCTTTCAGATTTCAGGCTTATATGCTATTTTTCCTTTTACTTTACTATTTTACCTTTAAAATTTCATCATTAAGCTAGCAGGAATTTTTGTGTGTGTTATAAAGTGAGGATCTTAACTGAACTTTTTTGGCAAGAAGGCCTTTTTATTTGTTGTTGTGGTTCTGGGGATTGAACCTCGGGCCTTACGCCTCCCAGGTGAGCATTCTGCTACTGAGCCACATTCCCAACCCACAAGAAGGCATTTGTCGTGACACAGCTTGATGACTAATCCATCATACCTTAACGAAATTGAAAGTTGCTTAAGTCCATTAAACTCTGAAGCATGGGTCTATTTCTGGACCCTCTATTTTGTTTTTGTTATAGGTACTAAAAAATACTGTTGATGATAGTTACACTGTTAATACATGATATGAACAGAGAGAGAGGATGGTAATGATGATGAACACCAGCAACACTCCATATTGATGGAGCGCTTCTTTCATGCCAGACCCTAAATTAAGCATTTCACATGGAACACTACCTTTTTTTTTTAGTTGTTCATACATGGACACATAACTTTAATTAATTAATTAATTAATTTTTAATGTGGTACTGAGAATTGAACCCAGTGCCTCACATGTGCTAGGCAAGCACTCTACCACAAAGCTACAATGGCAGCCCTGGAACACTTCTTATTTAATCCTGTGGGCAAAGTACTGCTTTTGTGTGTTTTTCAGAGGAAGACCTGTCAACGTGGTTGTTTGGATAGTGTATAGCCGGCCTTACTTCTTTTAGCACTGCTAACTTGACCTTCTCCTACAGCTAAGCAGAAATGTCTGTGTTTCAGGAATCGGTGACCTTCAAGGATGTGGTAGTGGACTTTACCCAAGAAGAATGGAAACAGCTGGACCCTATACAGAGAGATTTGTTCAGGGATGTGACGCTGGAAAATTATACACATCTGGTCTCCATAGGTAAGTATGACCCCCTGAGTTAAGATTGGGCTGTGAAGGGGGAGGGCTCTCTCCTCACTTTTCCTTTAGGTTCAGGAGCCAACAATATTTAGATTTTGAGTTTTTAAGGTAGTTTCTACTTCTTTTTTTTTAATGTTTATTTTTTAGTTGTACACAATACCTTTACTTTATTTATTTTTATGTGGTGCTGAGGATTGAACCCAGGGCCTCACATGTGCTAGACAAGCGCTGTACCACTGAGCCACAACCCCAGCCCAGTTTCTACTTCTTAATAAGCAGAGGGACAAACTAATAATTTTCTTGAATCCCATCCATGTTTAGGAACCAGGTAACACTGAAGCTTGATACACTATTTGTTCCCGTCAGGTTTGTCCCACATACCAGTTTCTCTAAACCAAAGTGATGAGACTGAAACTGAATTCTGATATGGTCTTCTTCCCTAACTGCAGACAGATTCTTTTATTTATTTATTTTTATTCCCCTTGGCAGGACTCCAAGTTTCCAAACCTGATGTGATTTCCCAGCTAGAGCAAGGGACAGAGCCATGGACTGTGGAACCATTATGTCCCCTTGGAGGTGAGTAATGTGTGCTGGCAGATGAATGTCACTAGCTCCAGCTGCCAGCCCAGCAAGGGAGGGTTTCATGCCCGAGCTGTCAATGTGTATGCTTCTCTGTAAAGTATGTCCTGTAGAGAAAGAAAAATTATCTATCCTGCCTAGTCTTATATTCTGTCATGCAACTGTCATAATTTATATTCTATTTTTGCATTCCTTCTAGAGGATTGGTCATTCCTGCCTAGTCCTAAAGCCAGGATCTCTGTCTGCACTCTGGGTTCCCTTTCCTGCTTCCTTTGGGACCTTGATCTCATAATTTTCCATTTATTTTTTATCGCCCCGTTTTTTGTTTTGGATCTACAGGTTCTATCCCTGTTAACCATCAAACAGAAACAGTCTATATTTCCAAATACGATTACTCAACACTATTCATCTTTTTGCCTACCATCCTCCCTCTCTTTTCTTTCCAAACCTAGCTCACCAAAAGTGGTCTCTGTAGCAGCAACCTGCATCCCTTCACTTTCTGCATCTCATGCAGACCTTCTGATTCTGTCACTTTTCTAGACTTATTTTGAAGCTGCAAGTTGGCCTTCTTCTAAATCATCAGTGTCTAAACTGCACAGAGAAACCTTTTCTAAGACCGATCCTGGGGAAGGAATAACTAGTCTCTCTAGGCAAGGAATATATCCCTAGAGTTAATGGGATGCAGTTGGAAATTCTCTTTTATAGCGGGAATAAAAATGTGAGTCATGGGGCTAGGGTTGTGGCTCAGTGTAGAGCACTTTCCTAGCATAAGTGAGGCACTGGGTTCGATCCCCGGTACCACATAAAAAAATAAACAAATAAAGGTATTGTGTCCATCTACAACTAAAAAAAAATGTGAGTCATATGTAATTTGGAAATGCTAGATTAGCTAAAATTATAACAAGTTTTTTACTTGAGTACCATGCAGAGATTTTTTTTAAATAGGCAATTAAGTGTTATAAATCCCATGGTTGATGTGTGAGGTGTCCCCCAAAAGCTCATGTGTGAGATAATGCAAGACGTTTTACAGGTGAAATGATTGGGTTATGAGACCCCTTAACCAGTAAATGGGTTAATCCACTGATATGGATTAACTGGAGGAAGTGGGTCACTGGAGGCAGGACTTCGTGTTTATATTTGGTGAAGTGAGCTTTCTCTGCTTCCTGGTGTCATGCTCTGAGCTGCTTTCCTCTGCCATGTTCTTCCATCATGATGTTCTGTCTCACCTTGGGCCCAGAGCTTTGGAGTCAACCAGCCATGGACTGACCCTTTTAAACTGTGAGCCAAAATAAGTTTTCTCTTCTCTGCATTATTCTCCTCAGGTCTTTTGGTCACAGTGCCAAAAAATCTGACTAAAAAAATATGTTTCCAAAAGGTTCACAGACTATGACTTTTTCTTTCTCCCTTTTCCTCTCCATCTCCCTGCTTTCTCTCCCCTTTGTCTAACTATGAAGATGATTTCTTGGAATATAATCCAGAAAATTGTTTTTTATAAGAGCTTATTAATTGGTGCTTACAGTTTATTAACTTTGGTAAAAAACAAATTGTGAAGTTGTATCACAAATTAAAAATGAAGTTTCAGAAAGTCCTGACTTGTCCAGAGAGAAAACAATTTTAAAACATTTAAATGTGTATTCAAAAACCTCGGGCATTTTTTTAAAAAAATGCAGTAGTCATAAAAGAAATTCATTTAGGTCAAAATATAAAACCCCATGTTGCATAGGTGAAATATAGGTAGTTACAGTTACCTGATCAGTGGACAGAAAGCAAATGTTTGAGGTATTTAGCTTTTTTTTGGTTACTTTTTATTGCTGGAATTTGACCCTAATGATGGTAGTCGTAGGAAACCAGCCTCCAGCCTTGCTTTCTTCACTGTTTGGAATAGATTTATCTTTGGTGTAGGATAGCTGCTTGTGTTTATAAAGATAACTCCAGCTGTACAGACATCTGAACAGGTAATTGGAATGGAGACAGTACCTGCATTGCGGTGCCCTGGGCCTGCCTCCTTCATCTCTTCATCCTCTTTCTGTCCTCTTCTCTAGGCTGTCTCGGTAGCCGCCTCTGCAGAATCAGCACCTAAAATCCTGATGTGTCTGCTTTGCCAGTCTGCCTTGTTCTGCATCCTGGTTTTCAGCACCCTCAGTTTATGCACTGGGTATTAGAATGTTTTGGTCAGTGCCTGGAGATGAGGAATACAGTAAAATGATTTGGAACTGCTTTCTGAGTAGGGTGCTGGTGTTCAGCATGGTCTTCTGGAACCTTCTCCAGAGAAGTTTGTTTTTTTATTGTTGTTATTGTTGTTTTGTAGGGCTGGGAATTGAACCCAGGGCCTTGTGCATGCAAGGCAAGGACTCCACCAACTGAGCTATATTCCTAGCCCCGTGATCTAATCTTGTTGTCTTCAGCTGAGACACCAGTCGTTGTTGGTGACTGGCCATGTCCACGCCCTTTTATCCTTCAGCAACACCCAGCTCTGTGGTTTGCATTATCCCTCAGTGCAGAACTTCTCGGACGTACTCCTTATGGTCATCTGATGTATGAATGCATCTTCCTTGGTGTCCTTCCTGTTGATGGAGACATTCATTTAACTACTTGGCTGTGCCGAAGGCTGGCTGCACTGATCTTGTCTTTGTGGGGAAGTTCTACCGCTATGAGGCTGCCTGCATGCATGCTCTGCCATGCCCATATCCCAGGGGTGGAAGGGATGGTAGGCCTCTCTGGGGTCTTGCTTAGCTCATGCTTGCAGACTGTGGTAAGTGGGAAAGACTCAGGGCTCTCTGGAGTGTGCTGTTTACCTTCCTGTCCCAGGGGAACTGAAGAAATGCAACCTGAAAGAACTTGTTCATGGCAGAACCTAAAGTGTTGATCCCATGCTTCTGTGGTCATCTCTCTAGTCTGGGAAAACACTCTGCTTTCTGATTGTCCATTTCCTGGCCTTTTTGTTTCTTTGCTGTACTTGCCCACAAGCTGCTTTTCTTCTTTTTGCATATTTCACTCATCTCATTACCCTCTGGGCCCTCAAGGATCGCCCCTACCTCTGCTCTTCTTTTACTTCCTTTCCTAGCCTGCAGTTGAACATCCTGCTCATCCTGTACCTTGTGGCGTCTTCCACCCTCACAGGCACGACCGTGGTCCAGACCTGTTTTTTCTCCACTTTCGCAGAGTGCTTAACTAGAACTTAACTATCTTCCTCCCCTTAAGTTGTTTCTAGACAGCTCTCCCATTTATAACAGCGATACTACCATATCCTCCATGGTCCAGGCTAACAACCATGGGGCCCTAGCCCAGTCTTTCTGATCTGCCCTGTTTTTAAATCAGTATTCTTGGACTTGTTGTATTGTTCATTAGCATGGAATCCTAGTTCTGGCTGCCCCTTTCAGATTCAGGCCATTTATGCCTATCTTTAACCGTCTCCAGTCACCTTTTTAATCATCACCTTAAATGGAGTCTCCTCGCTCATTCTGAGAAATTATCTGTAAAGTTGAAGTAGGCTTTCTTTTGCCATATTCTTAAGTTGTTTATTGTTCTTAGCTCTTTCTTTCTCCCCAATAATAGGGTTATATACTTATTTTTAGCTTCATTAGATCATTCCCACAATAGTAGTTCTTTTTTCTCAGTTCAAGGGAACACTCACATTTTATTTTATTTCAGAAGGGGAGACAAGACCTGAAGATAGTGTTCCCCGCCCAGAACTGGGCATCTCTTCAGAGGTGATAGTGGGAACATACAGAAGGGAAGATATTTGGAGTTCCCATGTCTTGGAGTCTCAGGTATCTGGATGCAATATAGAGAGGCAGCAAGCAAACCAACAGACACCACCAAGTGAAGTAGAAGTGGTCAAAAAAATAGTACCCACCTGGGAGGGAGGCCCTGCCACGAACGAACTTGAAAAAAGCATCGTTGTGAGTTCAAGCCTTTTAGCACAGCAGGAAATATCTCCAGGACAGGCTTTTGCTAAAGTAAGCATCAAACAGAATTCACACACAGTGAAAAAAGAGAAGTCTTGTAAGTGCAGTGAATGTGGTAAAGCTTTTAGTTATTGTTCTGCTCTTATCCGCCATCAGCGAACACATACTGGAGAAAAGCCTTACAAATGTAATGAATGTGAAAAGGCCTTCAGCCGGAGTGAAAACCTTATAAACCATCAGAGAATTCACACTGGAGATAAGCCATACAAATGCGATCAGTGTGGAAAAGGCTTCATTGAGGGCCCATCTCTTACTCAGCATCAAAGAATACACACCGGAGAAAAGCCCTATAAATGTGAGGAGTGTGGGAAGGCCTTTAGTCAGAGGACGCATCTTGTTCAGCATCAGAGGATCCACACGGGTGAGAAGCCTTACACTTGTAATGATTGTGGAAAAGCTTTTAGCCAGAGAGGTCATTTCATGGAACATCAGAAGATTCATACAGGAGAGAAGCCTTTCAAATGTGAGGAGTGTGATAAGACTTTCACCAGGAGCACACACCTCACTCAACATCAGAAAATTCACACCGGAGAGAAAACCTACAAGTGTAATGAATGTGGCAAGGCCTTCAACGGGCCCTCGACCTTCATCCGTCACCACATGATTCACACGGGCGAGAAGCCCTATGAGTGCAACGAGTGTGGCAAGGCCTTCAGCCAGCACTCGAACCTCACCCAGCACCAGAAGACACACACCGGCGAGAAGCCCTACGACTGCGCAGAGTGCGGGAAGGCCTTCAGCTACTGGTCATCCCTCGCGCAGCATCTCAAGATCCACACTGGGGAGAAGCCCTACAAGTGCAGTGAGTGCGGAAAGGCCTTCAGTTACTGCTCGTCCCTTACGCAGCACCGGAGAATCCACACCAGAGAAAAGCCCTTTGAGTGTAGCGAGTGTGGAAAGGCTTTCAGTTACCTCTCCAACCTCAACCAGCATCAGAAAACTCACACCCAGGAGAAAGCCTATGAGTGTAAGGAATGTGGGAAAGCCTTCATTCGGAGCTCATCTCTTGCCAAGCACGAAAGGATTCATACCGGGGAGAAACCCTATCAGTGTCACGAATGTGGGAAAACCTTCAGCTACGGCTCATCCCTCATCCAGCACAGGAAGATCCACACTGGAGAGAGACCGTACAAGTGTAACGAATGTGGGAGAGCCTTCAACCAGAACATACACCTCACACAGCATAAGAGGATCCACACAGGAGTGAAGCCTTATGTGTGTCCCGCATGTGGGAAGGCCTTTCGGCATTGCTCCTCTCTCGCACAGCACCAGAAAACTCACACGGAAGAAAAGCCCTACCAGTGCAATAAATGTGAGAAGACGTTCAGCCAGAGCTCCCACCTGACTCAGCACCAGCGCATTCACACTGGAGAGAAGCCCTATAAGTGCAGTGCATGTGACAAAGCCTTCAGCCGCAGCACTCACCTGACGGAACACCAGAACACGCATTCCGGAGAGAAGCCTTACAACTGCAGCGAGTGCAGGAAGACCTTCAGCCAGAGCACTTACCTGACTCAGCATCAGAGAATACATTCAGGGGAGAAGCCTTTTGGCTGTAGCGACTGTGGGAAAGCCTTCAGGTATCGGTCAGCTCTCACCAAGCACCAGAGACTGCACCCTGGCATCTGACCGTCCTGGAAGCATCGTGGGTGTAGGTGCTGCGTGTGCTTGGGTTTGTGCTTTTGTTACGTACTGAAGAATCGGTAGACAGAAACTCCTCAAGCATTTGACCTTTTCACTACTGTGATATGGGATGGAAAGTACACTGGCTGAACCCCTGTGGCAGTGGGAAGCTCAAGTGTTTTAAACTTTAGTTTCCTCTGTGAAATCAGAGTTTGGGGGTTGATGATCTCAGCGGCAGTTAGGAGTTTTATACTCAGTTTTGTATATCTACAGTATATCCTTAAATAGTTTGTGCATCAGGCTTTTGGTGGTGCATCTAGAATGTGTATGTTCATGCATGTTTTGCCAGTAGAAGGAATTCGTGCTTCAGTCACGAGGGATCTGTTTGACTCCTGTTCTAATGCACTAAGTTGCTTAGGCTATTGCTTTCTAATAAAAAGAACTACAAAGGACCCTCAGTTCAGATGTATGTGACAGCCTAACTCCACTTGCGTATTAAAAGTTGGTAGTCAGGTGGGTGCTCTGCCCCTGTAGTCCAGCTACTCAAGAGTCTGAGCCCAGGAGTTCAACACCACATTGGACCACATAGTAGGATCCCATCTCAAAAAAACAAAAAGGTATTCTAGTTTATTTTTAATATTCTGGGAGTTTGTTACAGTCACATTGGTCTGCTTCTGCATCTCACAGCAGCATTACTTAACCCTGGTTGCACATGGGAATCATATGATGTCTTAGTTTAGATTGCTATAACAAATTATAGCCAGGTTTGGTGGCATATACCTGTAATCCCCGAGACTTGGGAGGCAGTAGGATTACAAGCTCGAGGACAGCCTCACCAACTTGGTGAGACCCTGTCTCAGAAAATAAACAAGGATGGGTGCCGCAGTCCGGCTGCAGCAAAATAACCGGGGGGTGACGAACAACTTGTGAACGTTGATACAGCAGGAGTAGGAGCCGTTTATTGCAGGACAGGAGCAGTATTTATACATTCCACACAGCTTATCTAATTAGCATAAACTAGATACATCAGTCAACCAATCAGGAATCTCCACACTTAATGGCTTGTTTTTGTTACTTCTCAAACCACTCCCTCTGGCATTTTGCCAGGCACCATCCAGACTTGTTTACAAACTCTAACATTCCCCTGGCAAAATGCCAGGTGTTATTTTGACTTGTTTGCAGACTCTAACAGATGGGGATATTGCTTAGCAGTAGAGTACCTCTGGGTTTAATCCCCAGTTCCATAAAACAAACCAACAAAAATTTACCATGGAAATTTATGGAGTCAGTAATCTGAGGTCCAGGCTCGAATGGACCTAGTATCTGCTGACAGCCCACTTCGTGGTTGTAGATAGCTGTTTTCTTGGATGCTTACTTGGCAAAGAGCAGAGAAAGAGAAAGCAAGCTCTCTTTTTATAGGGTACCAGTCAAGTTCATGGGGGCTGCACCCTCAACCTAATACCTCCCCTCAGTGCCTCACACCAAATACTGTCCCACTGGGGGTAAGCTGCCAACGTGTGCATTTGGACCGGACACTTCAGGAACGCCACACAATTCCATTGCCCAGGCCCCACCCCATAGACTGTAACTTACTTGGATTAGGATATGGGATCCAGGATCCAGGTTTTTTTTATGTTGTTTGCTTTTAACGTCTCACGTGTGCCCTGGAGAGAGCGATTGGCTCAGATTTCAGTGCGCACTCGTTCAGTCAGGAGCCTCTGTGGCTGCTCCTGGAAGCCTCGTAGATCAGCTCTCAGAGGTAAGGTCAGTTTGTTTCGTCACCTTGGTGCAAAAACAAAATTATAACGTTTACACTGATGACGGTCACTTCACATGTCTCTGGCTTCCTTACATCAGAAGCAGTTGACACCCTGGGGAGACATGGCCCATAATCTACATGACCACTCTGGCCCTGTTCAGGAAACACGTTTAGCCAAAGAGTAATGCACCTTCTCTTCCCTCTAGGTGCAGCCTAGTTCTTATCAGGCCAGGTCGTTTACGAGTAGTTGGTCATTTCTCAGCCTGAACTTGAACATGAAGAGCTCTTGAGAGCAGCAGGCAGCACAGAAACGGGTATTTCCAGAAAAGAAGAGGGGGTGAGGGACACCAGTGCTGTTCTCTTTGCCTGTGTAATTGTGCTCCTTCCTCGACGGCAGATGCCAGTGAAGGGCAGATGGAAGTTAGAAGTGGAACAGTGCAGCCACTTAAGTACTGGACTTTTCTTTGTTGCAGCTTGAAGAAGCTATACAGGAATGTTTCTTGTTATTAGTTTCCCAAGTCTTTCTTCATGCAGGAATTATAGTTATCCCATCACTTAGGGGGACACAATCATCTTTGCCTGGCATCTGAGTAGCCCCCACAGTACAAAGAAATGCAGAGTCTACATACAGGCAGAGGGTCCTTCAGCCCCAGAGGAGATCTGAAAATGGACAAAATCAGTCTGCAGTGGAAGGATGGGTCACTTCGGTTCCCATATGAAAAAAGAATTTAGGTGGAAATTCCACTAAACCTGAAAAATGACAGTTTGTGGCATTTGATTTTATCTCATTACAGGTACTCTTGGATCAGACTCGGCGCCAAGAATGTGTGATCACCTCCTAACTCAGTCACACTCCTACAGAAGTGACCTCTCAGGCCTCCCTCTGCTTGCTCGGATTTGTTTCCCTGTGTTTTAGAAGTGTGCTAACTGCTCCCAGGTGATCGAGGTTGAGAAGGGTAAGCAGCGAGGCCTCGGAAGTTAGCATTGTCCTGTTTCTGGATCTCCTTCTTATGTATTTAGCCTCTTTGCTGGCTGTCCCAGACCATGTCCCTAAGCAGTAGACCTGCAGTTGCTGCTGATCCAAGGATCTGTCCTTTATCACCCAAGATGCACCTCGGCTCCCTACTTCCCTTTTTTTATACCTTAACTCCCAATTTAAGAACAGAACAAGGAAGTGACTATCATTTCTGACTTTTTCCCCTCCTAATTCTATAATTCTGTGTCATCTCTATCATACACATAACACTAATATTAGTTCCTTAATATTTATCAACTGGGAGTGTAAGCAGAATTAAAATCTAGAGAATTATAGATGCAGCTCACCATCTGTGTGACCACTGACCCTGGATGGTGAGAGCTGTGACCTGATGAGTCCATCCTCGTTTGAATGGACTGGTGGTAACCACGGGCAGGTGGGGCATGCCTGGAGGAGGTGAGTCACTGGGGACCTGCCCAGCATTTTCCCTGTGGCCCCTTCCTTCCTTCCCTGCTTCCTGAGCTGAGCAGCTTCCCTCTGATGGGCTCTTCCTCCATGATGTGCTGCCTCACCTTGTGCTCAGAACAATGGAGTTGGCCATCTATGGACTGAGACCTTTGAGCCCCAATGAATTTTTCTTTCTCTTAGTTGTTTTTTATTTTATCTTTCCACGTGTTTCAGTCACAGTGATGCAAAAGCTCACTAAAACAGATGCAAACCTGGGGTTAAAACTTGTGACACAGCCTATATGTGTGCTTGACTTTAGTAGACACTGCCAAATAGTTCCCCAGTTTACAGTCCCACCACCCATGTTTGAGAACTTCCATTGTCCCACATCTTTGCCAACTTCTCACTCACTGTGGACGTCAACAGCCACTGTGTCAAGTAGGGCAGAGTTCCACTCCAGAGAGATGCTTTGGAGAGTCTACAGTGTGTATTTAAAGTTGTGGGACTGGATGCCATGGCTAAAGTGGGGGCGTGGAAGTAGATAAAGAAAAGTTCTGAGGACTGGCGCTTGGTAACTCCAGCTTCTAAGGGCTGGGGCAGAGGTCGCCTAGCATGTGTGAGGCCCTGGGTTCCAATGCCACCATCACACACAATATCCAACTTTTAGAAATCAGGAAGATGAGGATCCACATGGGAAGCAAGCAGCAGGTGTTTCGGGAGGACGAGCAGCAGGGTGTAGAATCCTGGAAGCTAGAGAAAGCCGTGTTTCAGGATGAGAGGCTGACCATCATGGCAGACACTGCTGAGGCTGAATGAGAGGCAGACAGTCGGCTTCAGATTTGGCAAAGGGGACAAGGGTGATCTTAAAAGCAGTTTTGGAAAAGTAAATCTAAACCCTGGAGGGGTAAATATGAGAAAGGAAGCAACTGGAGAAAGCAAATTTGAACACTGGTGTTTTGCTGTAAAAGAAAGAAATGGGTAGTTGCCAGTAGGCATCATGGAGTTGGGGACTTCGTAACATGAGGTACTACAGTTGGAAAGCTGTTGGGATTGGACCAGAGAGGGAAAAATGGTGATCCAGAAGAGAGAGATAAGTAGCATGGAGTCCTTGAGGAAGCAGGATGAGATGAGCCTTGGGTGCAGTGGCAGGGTGGGCTTAGAAGACAAGCACAGTGTGGTTGTTAGAATAGGAGGGGACATGAGTCCTCGCGCTTGGTCACGGGGCTGGGGGGACGTCTGACGTTCCCTTCTGTTTTGATTTTTCCGTAGAAATTAGGTAACAAATTAAGGATAAGAAGAGGTTAAAGAGGTGTTAGAGAGGTTTGGGGAGAGGCGATGAGGTCAACTCGTACAGTGTGGGAGAGCGAACTGTTCTTAGAGATGTAAGGTTGGAGGCAGCACCAGCAGTGCCCATGGGGCACTAGTTCATGAGTTAAAGGAGACAAATTGTCATTAAGTGTTCTTCAGCAACCGTTAGCTGCGTGGGAGCAGGGGTAGAAGAAGCTGAAACTGGGATAGCCAGAAGTTTTCTAGGAGAAGAGACCAAGAGCAGAAGTGCTTACTTAAGGGGGTTGCTGCGAGGGCTATAGAATTCAGGCTGGGAGGAAAGAATAAGGGTTGGAGGTGGGTGGTGGGAGAAGGTGAGGGATTAGCAAAGGAAAAAAAATTCATGGCTCTTACAATTTTAGGTTTTGTTGGGACTGAAGAAATGGAGCAGATGTCGTAATCTCCCCAAGAGTGAGGGAGTGCCTTCTGCCAGAAGGGTGGGTGGTCCAGTTGACAGCTGGGGTCTCCATGCAGCTAGGGGCTCTGGGTGACAGAATCATGGCCTGAAAGTGCAGCAAAGAACTAGAAGGCCCCTTCCTCTGCTCCAGGCCTGGGTAAGTTAGGTGTGGATGTTGAAGCAAGGAAGAGGAGCCAGAATCTTCTGGAGAGTTGTTTTTGAATCTGTGATATATGTTCTTGTGAATTTCATCATTATGCTGAATATCAACCAGAAAGTTACTTCGACAATTTGGGAACATTTTGAATTAAGGATGGTGATCGAAGAGCCTGGTTTCTCAAATCTCACAGTAAAAAAAAGAACAAAGAAGAAGAAGAAAGGCAATAGAAGAGGGCCCTTAGATCCCCAGCACCTCGAAACAAATTGATTTTTTGTTTTTTTGTTCATCAGTGTGATTTTGCTTAATGTGAGTCAGTCCCTTCTTGAACTCCTACTGCTGATCACACCTAGTTTTAAGAACTCGGCACTAGGCTCTGGACGATGACTACAGCAA